ACTGTTACTATCTCGAACCATTTGCCTGCTGCTGTGTAGTTAAGTGAACAACTACACCTCCACCCCGTATATATTTGTAATAGTCAATCACTGTACCGGGTGACCTTGTTACTTGGTTGTATTTTACTAAAAAGGCTACAGCCCTGTAACAGTACGTACATACATTTATAATTTGCAACTAACAGTTTTTTCAAAATCGTGACTTCATTCTATATTAGGCATAGCAATATGCTTATATTGCATAAATCATATCACTAAGGAGATACAAATAATAGCTTCCAACTTGAACAATAATCCACAGATAAATACTATTTGTAAATATTTATAATGTACAGTATATAAAATGTAAACTAGATTATAAATAAAAGAACGCTACACGCACCCAAAGATGGTAATATCATCGGTATAAAAAAAAAAAAAAAGTGTTTGAGGAAGCAGTGCTTATTCATGATAAAATATGGGTAAATATTAAACTATATATATAACTATATATATAGTTAGCCTAACAAACATTGAACTTAATTTAGGTTTAGTTCTAGTAAGGTTGTTATCGGCTTGATCCGGCTTGTACGTATACTTGACTATTATAAAAACCAATTAATGAATGGAGCCGAACGAGCCGATAACATCCCTAGTTTCTGGATGCTGAACCTAAATCCATGCCAGTTAAATCGGGAACTGGACGTTTTGGAAAATTTCGTAAAATAAGACTTCGAAGGCTTTCACTCTTCCAACTCAGCCAATCATTTCCTATTTAATTTTATTTAAAATAAAAAAATAAATATGGTCACAGATAGATTTAACATGGTAATATAGATGAGAAATCTCTGATATATATATAATAATCGTGCTAATAGATAACTTTAATACGTAATAACGCATGAAATATTTAAACTACCTGTATATTTCGCATATATATATACTATATATATATACGTATATATATATATATATATATATATATGTTTAATAACCAATGCCCTTAACGTTAAGTAGTATATCTCCAATTAAGATGCTTATCACACAAAACTTCATCAAACTTTGGCTCATTTTCTACCAACTTCATAGCAATGTCTCTAACCCTTTTATTATGCTTCAGATCGTTATCACTTAACTTATAGTTATGGTTGGCTATTATAGCCAAATCACGTTTCTTATTTAATAATTCCAGATAAAATTTTAATCCAATAACTAAAATAGTTCCAAAGAGCACTGAAGCTAAACATACAGCGTTTCCCATAAGGAATGATGGTGCATCAGTAGCTGGGAAAATTAGAATCCCGATAATACCTCCAATCTGAGCAGAAGTGAATATTATTCCGAGGGCCGTGCTGCGCTTATATTCACCGACTTTTTTAAATTTTAAGATTAATAAAATTACGAAACAATATTAACATATATTGCATTTTTTTGAAAAAAAAAAGACACTAACCATTGTTACATGTGCACCAACTAAACAGTACTGGCAACACACTGTATGCTCCACATGCCAATAGAATGGTAAAAAAATATCTTAATTTGTATAAACTAGGATCATCGGCGTGCGTTGCTATCATTCCCACTAATCCAATGATAGAGAAAGAATACCCAGCTAACATGTTCCGGGCTCTTGTCTGATACTTATCAGAATACCAAGCATTAATGGTCGTAATTACTGTTGAAACAAGAAGCGGTGGTATGACCATTAATTGAGCTTGTACATTATTATATATATTATTAGTTAGTTTATTATTAGTTATATTTAGTATATTCTTATATTGTATATTATTATATTATATTAGATAGTAATTTTATAGTTGATATATAGAAATAAT